ACACACACACAAATAAATAAATAAATAAATAGATAAATAAAGTAGCGATGATACTCTAGTATACTTGTTAAACTTTAGGGTAGACCAGAAAACATAGACAATAGACCCTGCAATTGTGTTTATCGTACTGATTAAAGACAAATCAAGCAATCAAACAGAGCAACAAATAAACGAGTACACTGTCTTTTGAAATAATCTTCAAAACGTTTTAATTGTACCGTGATAATTTCCTACCATGCCCAACGGGTGCCTGAAGCTGATTTATTGTATTATACAGCCTCGCTCCTCGTACAGATGAGCTGAGAAGCGAGGCAAACACAATTCCTTGCTAACCTCGACATGGTGCATTATCTCTAGTTCTTACCACTTTTACAGAGGCTTGATGTATAATGAATTAAGGTGAAAAATTCTATGATTTGAGATTAAACGTTTACAACGATATTTACAAAATGCTTACATACTGAAAATGAAATGAAAAATTATAACCAAGAATTGCAGTCTAGGCAAGTGGCCTTCGAGTGTAATCTATAAAAGACTTTCTAGATTCAAGATTCATTATAAGTTTATAGGATAACAATTGTGGGGTAGGGAAAGTAATATTTAAGCTCTCAGGATGTACTGCAATTGTGAAAATCTACTCATATCTATTGCATGTTTAACGATGATTAACGACTCGGACAATAGCTTTATTTCGCTCTTGGGAAATAACCCTTTTGTTTTAGCTCCACAATGTAATATAAATACTTTACGACCTGAGACAAACATAAAAAAAAATACTCCTGCAAAGAATGATCGAGAAAGTCTCTTTTCCATAATCAAGTTATTGGTTTGCTCTACTATTGATAAGAGAGAAGCCAATTATGCATAACTTCAGTTGCAAATTCTCTGGCTTGTAGTTTCCAGAATTATCCTTGTAATGATATGTTTGTAATAGATAACAAGCTTTTGGGTAGACAAGGAAATTACATTGTAGACTCTGCAGGTATTAGCAGCTGAGGTGAGGTAACCCGAGATCACAAGATCAGAAAAACAAGCGCCATCTTTTGAAATAGAAAAACAACAAAACGGTTTAATTGAGTCGTAATAATTGTCTACCCTACCAAATGGGTGTAAATTTTTAGCCGGTGTGTAGAATGATGTAAATGACCAGAGCAACGAGGCTAACACATATCCATAAACAATGATATGATATTTCGTCTCTCGGTTCGAAACCATTTAACAAAACTGAAATACGCTATGTATTAAGATTAAATGATTTATCATCTGAAAGTATATAATGACGGTAACAAGCAGAAATAACAAGATCCTGCATGGTCAATTTCTTCTGCAGCCGTATAACTGATATCTAATGTCTGTTAATCTTCGTAATAAATATATCAGCAACTGAGCTGAATCAGTTAGCTGATGCTAACTCAAATCATCATAAAATAGAATTGTTAAATAATAATTAAGTGTAACAAAACATTTTCTTCAACGCTCTGCGGTATCTTTCCAATCGCCATGCGTACACAAAGGGATCGAGAACGAACTTGACAAAAACCAGGTGATTAAACACTTTTTCCATCAGCACCAGTGGCTGATACTGCCGACATCTGCTGCAATGCCCCGTCACGTACCACACCACAGTTACGGGAAGAATTGGAATGGTGCTTACCACGGTAAACAAGAAGATAACCTTACGCATTTTTTTTTCCATATATGTACTCCTCCTGATCACTCTGAATTGACGAAGCTGCGAATTCGGATTGCTGAATGAACGCGCTCTTTTTCGCTCATGTTTTTTAAAGGCCTTGTAGAGGAAAAAATAGGACAGGAGCAACAGAGAAGCCATCAAAGTCGTGTTCAAGTACAGATCAACTTTTGCGACCAAAGGCAGTGGTACTCTTGTGAACAGCATTGAAGCAAACCCTAACTGATAAACCCATGTACAGCAAATCAGCGCTTTAGCACGTCGAATAGTCATCCAATTCCGGTGTTTTATGGGCCGTGACAAAGCCAGGAAGCTATCCCAAGAAAAGGTGCATACGCTAATTATAGACACGTTCATTGTAACGATGGAAAAAGCAGACATAACTTTCCTTAATGTCACAAACAGAACATCCTTGTTGAGATAGAGGTAGTAATAGTGGTACGCCAGCAGTGGTTGAAGGACGGCTCCGGTGAGAAAGTTTGCAAGAGCCATGCTGAAAATGAAGAAGTTGGACGGAGTGCGAAGAAGTGAAACCGTGTTCTTGATAAATATTAGGAGCAGTAAGCCGTTGCCCGAAACTGTTAAAGGCGCCAGACATGTAAATAAAATGGCTGAAGGAAGGGGAATCATCTGGGATCCGTTGATATCTTCAAGCTCTTGCTGTAGTGCCACGGAATGGTTTTCACTTTTGAAGGACATTCTTGCGGCACAGTCGAAAATTGATGCTAAGTGAGAGCTTCGGAAAAAGTTATTACGTAAACGAACTTAGAAAAGTAATTCGCCGTTAAACGTTCCGGACAGCTGTGTTTAATTTTAATTTCTCAAAAGCATCGAAAGTTGACAGCGCTTTTACCTCAGTTCCCTGGGTTTAAAGAGCTTGGATAAGAAACAAAGGAAACATTTTTATTTAGACAAACTGTGAAAGTCAACGCTTTCGAAAAATTCACTCCATTCTCATGTAAAATTTATTTTAGGGATTTATATCATCAAATATTTCAATTTTGTCGCCTTTTGGTTCAGCTGTATATTACTATATTTTAGCGGAGTTGGACTAAAAAAAGATTAATTGCACTAGGACGAGAAGGCAAAACGTTTTATTTTTATTTATTTATTATTTTTTTTTTGTCTTTCAGTCTTTTTTTTTTGTTTCCGGAAATAAAGCCTACATAAGTGATTCAGTCGATTGATTATTTACGTATTCAAGTGCATATACATTATTTTTGAAATCTTGGTGCAACAAGGAGAATGCTTATGGAATTGTTTCCATAGAGGCGTCTCCTGTTCATAAAACACTCAGATTAGATATCAAAACTCTGAAAATTCTAAGAAAATGTTACGAAATGGTAACAGAAAACCAGGCTGCCATAATCGGCAAACAGATTGGATCGACAGGTAATCAATGGAATCGAAGAAAAACAGAAGGAAGGAAAAACTCTCAAGACTGACATGAGGTTTGCTCCCTTTTTACAATACCTTCGTGAAAAACAATGATAAAACAAAAATAGAACCAAGTTGATTAAAAAAAGATGATTACATGTTTGAAAGATGCATTTGATTTTTAAATCACAATCTCGCGTTCATAAATTAAGATCTATTTTTTTTAAAACCATCTTCTATTTGTTTTGTTTACTCATTTAAATAACTACTTCAGTCTGTTTCAGAAGTTCACTACACCAGGCTCGAGTGTCACGCCTCCACTGATGCAACCTATGTTTTTATGGAAAATCAGGAAAACCAAAACAATTAAGGCGAGTCAATCAATGCAAAGGCTACGAGCCTACTAAGGATCTACCCACAATGAGGCACCACGATCCACGAGGCCTTCTGATTTTCGGCTCCAAACGGCAATGGATTAGTAGTCTAAACAAGAGGGATGATTAAAGAAGCCGGAACAAAGAAGACAAAGCTTATGCGCCAAGCAATGCAACTTGCACTAGTGAAAGCAACGTGTTTTAGGAACTTGTCGATGAAATTGAACGTTTTGCTTCAGTCGGTTGCAAACCGCCACCAGGCAGATTGGGACACTTTTGGTCAAAGATGTCGATGCAAGTGCATGATTTCTAACAACACAACGCGAGCAAATGATATTATTACTCTGGCTTTCCAAAGGAAACACCCGTGTTGAGATTGCGGGTTGGTTTTTTTCTTTTTTCGTTCAGAAGATGCTAATCGCAGTAAAGTCTTCAACAAGGATGCGTGACGTTTTGATTGATAAGCGTGTGGCATGGTGTAATGGCGAGAGCAGGGCAAAAAACGCTCAAAACGCATACAAAACGTGCGCAGTGCGTTCTCGGTAGACCCAAAGTAAAATATGTCGAGCGTTTTCGGAACGGGTCGGTCCGCGAACCCTATGGGAGGTCTCTTTCTAAGTGAACAGTTACGAATGAACTTTTCATCGAAAAACATGCTACATAATCTGAGCTATCTAATGTTAATCGAGAGAAGCATAAAGGAAAATCTCATCGCGTAAATAGATGTAATCGTGAACCTAGCAGAATGAACAAATGCAGGCACAAAAAACAAAGTTTCCTCCTAACAGAAAGCCAGAGTGAATGCAAAATATGCGTCTAGTTTCTATCGAAGAAACTCGCATCCTTTACCAAAGTATATCTCAAAAATGGTTGGCATTACACAATAAAGATGCAAGAAATCAATTGCAACTTTAACTTGTAGGAAAAAAAAAACATTTCATTGAACATTCTTTATTTCGTCTTCCCGAAACAATTATAATTTCACTACAGAAGAGCATTAAATTTCGTTTTTATCAATGTAAAATCGTACCAATAAATGACGGGAAAATAAAATCTTAATTACTGCCTTGATTTTGATCTATTTGTCCACTCAAATCCTAGTAGAAAAATAATAACCAAATCTTTGTTTGGAACTGTTGCCATTATGTTTTACTCGTATATCTATACATAAATCTCTACTAAATACAGCTAAATTTTGAAAACATTCTCTCTAAAGACTAATCAAGTTCTTACAGCAATCTCTTCACATTTTACTGAATTCTTTCCTTTCAGTTGACGCTTCGCAGAAACTTACCCGCATGCAAACACCTCGACGCAGACTTATTTAATACGAGGTCCTAATTACAACATAATCTGTAAAAAGTCACCATCTTATATCTTTTAATGTTACGATTAACTTCTCATGTAAAAAGACTTTCACACACATATTTCAAGAACTATAGTTCTACATATAGTCTTCATAAGTTACCAATGAAATATAAGCTTCACGTTAATATGCAATAAAACAATTTTTGATCGAGTGTCGTATAACCAAAACCAAAGCGACCATAACAGCCAATCATTACAAGGAATATATTAAGACGAGCCGATGAAAATTAGCGATTGATTGAGTTGGTTGTAGTTTTGAACCTGATTGGTTGAAAGATAGACGCAAGTTTTCTGGGCCAATCACATAACGAAGCAATGGAAAAACAAATCAATCCTAGATTTCTCTTGACACTCGATTTCCAATTGCTCTAAATGCTTAGACTACAATTCCGACAAAGACATTTAAATACATTTTTAGTCTTCTTAATCATAAAAGCTAAGGTTGACAAATTACACAACTTTGAACGTGTAATCTCTACTGATAGCAGTTTTTTTTCTCTTAAACATAAACAGTTCTATAAAACTAGAGATATAGAACATACTCTGCTAAAGGTTTACAAAGGGCCTTCAAGCGAAGTTACTACGCTCAAAATTTCTCCGTCTATTCTATGACTGACTACCCAATGATAGACTGACTTGGTACAAAATAGAGCTTCTCGTCGGTTAGCCTGGACTTATCATTTTGGAGCCGGACTTGCATCGGACACACACTTTTTCCAATTAAGTAATTAGGCAAGCTCGTTACAAATTTTATGGATTTCAAAATAAGTTACTGTGCGGCCCGCAAAAATTCACTTCTGCAGATTCGCGCACCTATTGAATACTAACTGAACTGTAACGGTAAAAATCTGCTTCCATGACTAAATAAAAAAAATTACAATAAAAAAAAAAAAAGATACTGAAAAAAAAGAAAAGCCCAAATGCAAAAGCAATTTTTATATCTTAGAGGGCCTAATCATTAAAAAGAAACTCATACTTTAAGTCAAGGATCGAACAGTTTCCGCACAAAAAAATTGGCATAAATTAGTTCTCTTTTTATGCAATCCAGATGGGAAACTTAGACAAACTCATACAAATCAACCACTTCCATTTCTAAGATCTGACAATTAATTCTCCAAAACAACAACCAGACAATTCTTTGCTTCACGGTCCTTATAATTGTACGTTATATTCAGGTAAGAAACATTCTTCTAGATAATAACTTTTTAATCCGACAAAGTGTTCCGCTACGATTGATCATCGTTGCAGGATTCGTTTTCGCGATTGTCATAGCTTAACATAACCTTATTCTGTGGCAAACCGTTGTAAAGCGTTTTCAGGGCTTGAAGTTCGCATAATCATCAAACGCTGATAGGTAATCCTGGATGGCGTAATGGACGAATTTATATTCTCCCTAGAGAAAAAGAACAACAAGTCGTGATCAGGTGATCATTGTACATCACCTCATGGAAGATTAACGTTGATGTTTATTTCAGCTACACAATGCTCAAAAGAATCTATCTAGACCGAAATGGCACTATTTACTATCAGAGGACTAAAACAAAAGTGGTAGTCCTAAATGCAAAAGCCATTGTGACAAAAATATAATATAAAATTCGAATATTCTCATTCTAAATTTACTGAATTTAAGATGGAGTAGAACTTACCGCCGTCTTCACCAGTCCAGGCCGAGGAATTCGCATGGCCTTGATGGCCTGAAACACATCAACGACCTGTTCAATCTTCAAACGTTCCAGCACCGAGTACAACGCACAAAAAGTCCCACTCCGACCAAGACCGTCACTGAAGATTAAGAAAGAAAGCAAGTGAACCCGAGACCTTCCTAAGATAGAAATATTAGTAGATGGTGCGGCGGTCTTACACTTAGCCCATCTCAACCTGAGACAAACTACCAAGTACGACCAAGCATTATTTAGGGTATTGCCCGCTTCCTTGTCTCTAATTCTTACATGCATTGTACCAATGTGAATGTTAACTTCCACTAACCTACAAACAACTGTGATAGGTCCATTCCCTGAATGCTGTTGCCATTTCTCGACCTTTGCTATTAAAGTGATCAGACCGGACGCAGGAGGTTCTTCATTCTCGTTCACCCAACCGCTGTACTGAAACATCTTTATGCGCAAACTCTTTTCAGGAGTCTGAAGGTTCAAAAACAAGGGCGTTTTCAGTATAATTTCAAACAAATATGCAAAAACAAGCAAATAAACACAAAAACAGAGCTAAATCATAAAATTAACAAAGAAAAACAATACCAAAAGAGCGGAAAGAAAAAATATAAACAAGCAAACAAACCAAACAACCAACGGGACTGACTAAAAGAACCATAACACTAACACGCATAATGTCGTTCTCTGACAAAGAAATACCTAAGTTGTTCATGTCTCCTACTTGTCACAACAAGAGGCACGTCATACGACTTCTAGTCGAGGTTAAAATTCCCCTCCACCCCATTACAAATCCCCCCCGCTTACAGCATTCTCGAGAGAAAGATTTTAGTCCCTTGAAATTGAAAGACAGTTAACAAAAGAAGCAAATCTGAGGATTTAAAGTGTATTTAGGTACACCATTCAAACTCACTCTGAGATCAGTGGCTTTAAATGTCTTCTCAGTGATTTCAGTTTGGTCGTAAGTTGCTTTTAGATTATCCACGCTGCTGCTGTTCGCAGCCAACCGCTGAACGGTCAACATGTCGTCATACGTCTTTGCATCTGTTTCAGAATCTTGCCAGAATTCTGGGAAATCCTGGGTGGGCGAAAAAGTTCGTCTTCAAAACTGAAATATGTGCTTTGAAGAAAGCTTTATAGATATTAAGAAAACTACGACTCCCGAAGATGATCAATTGCTTTGCAAAATCATCATTTAAATTACATAAAATTACTGTTTACATACATATATACATACTTTATTAACGTGGCTGACTGTTTCTGCTCAGTTTTAACATTTAAGGACATTTAACCGTGTTTAGATGTTATAAATCAAAAGACTATCATCATCAACATATCTATTACCCCTTCTTGCTCTCTTGAATCAAACAACACAACACAGGAACTCTCCTGTTCACAGAGCATGCGCCAAAAGTCTGTCACGGTGGACGTAAGCGGATGTTGCGTGACTATAAAAGCATGTTGTTGCTTGTAGCCCTAAGAAGCGAAGGAATATAGTCAGAGAATAAAAACTACAGACTGCTTAAAAGTGTTTTATGCTTTATTTGTCACGAAACATGGACACGTGACGGATAAAGAAAGTAGGATATCAGGAAGAGAGGAGGAATAGAGTCAGAGAATAAAAACCATAGGCTGCTTCAAAGTGGATTATGTACAGTTTACTATGAAACATCGATACGTGACTGGTACATAAATAAGAACATCAGGAGTAAGACGAAGATCACTCACGGAAATGTGAACAGCGTTTATGTACGACGTGGACTCGTTGTCGTCAATTGCAGTGAGCACCACACGATAGCAGTCAGCTGCGAAAACAAAAGAAAATTGAGAGACGAAGTTAGTCTTTCTGTGAAAGAAGAGCAAGCTTGTTCGTTTTCAATCACATCTGAACTAATAAAATCTTTACCAAACTATAAACAACATGTAAGGATGAAAACCACATATTTTCCTTACAAATACACTCCTACTTACGAGCTAGGATTTCAGCAGATCTGTTTTTCTCCTTATTCTCTGGATATGACGCCACAATGCAGTGCCCTTTGTGAAGAACTGGACTTACTTTGTTGAGTCTCTGAAACACACAGGAAAAAAAAAAATTAAGGAACAAAGCAAGAGAGTATACAATTGAAGTCAGTCTTGCCTAGGGTGGGGACCTCACATACATGTAGAGCGTCAGTAAAGTTGTGTCCGAGTTTTACGTTCAATGTTTGAATTATGGGTTCAATGTTTAGCTTCATCTCCAGTCTGGTCAATAGGCCTTTAACTTTGTTAAGATTTCATTTGATTTGAAATGGCTCAAAAAATGTTGATGTCTGAGCCACCAGGATTTCAGGATTCTAAAAATCACATTGTATTGAAAGACGTGGGTTATAATAAGAAGCCTACTTTGAGTAATGCTACTATCACAAAGGATTACTTTTTTAAAAGCGTCAGTCCTCGATTATTTGAGTGTCATTAAGATGAGCTCGAAAGAATCAAGAATTCACCAAATGGGAACCAACAAAGATGACTCAGCATGCCAAAAATCACGAACGAATGTTGACGAACGGGAGATATTTATACAAAAGTCTACAGGATGCACCATAAAACGTGGTGTTTAGCTACAAAGAAATCACTCGGCCCAAGAAACCAAGTCTAGTTTAATATCTGCCACCAAGTGTTACATCAACTGACTCGTCATACAAAATGACCGTCCCTTAAGTTTTGACGCGCAAACGAGGCTACTAGCAAGCAATGCGTATTTTTACACGTGAGGTAACTTAATTTAGGACTCTGAGGAGAGAAAAAAGATTTGTATACATGTAGTCCCATCTTCCTCACCGTCCTTTAACAGTTACATTATTTCCTTACCTTGAACTCAGACTCAAAACGAGTCATCTTTGTCTCCGGATCCACGTCATTCATCCGAGCGAGAGTGATCCTTAAGTCATGAGCATAGATCTGTGTGTTGCCACACTGTAGTGCTTCTAGAATAGCGTCATGACAGAATGTATATTGTTCCTAGAGGAAATGAAAACAGCAAATATTTAACTAAAACCGTAGGGAAAAGTAATGATAATTTTAACATGCTTTATGTCGTCAAAAAGAAAAGCAGGGAGTCCAACCCTACTGTGTACTGCACATAGGTAAAAAAATATAAACAAAACCAAACAAATTGAAACCACAACAACAAATACAAAGATAAAAACAATATTCACCTCAGTTTGAACCATGGCTGGCCTACGTGATCGCAAGTAAGCCACAAAGTTGAAAATGTCTATTGTACTTTCTGCCTTGATTCTGTCCAGCGTGCTATCGATAACCATGAACGTACCTGTTCTACCAACTCCAGCACTAGAAAAATTAGACAAACATAAACCAAAAAAAAAAAAAGACATTAGTACCATTTAAGAGGAAAGGTAATGATGCCCCAACCACTAAAGAGACAAACAAAAAAAAACACTGATGATAGAGAAGACAGTAAACCATCTAAGAATCAGTGTATGAACGGATGGAAGGATCTACGGACAGACAGACCGACACGACCGACGAACAAACAGACCCACAGACAGACAGACAGACAGACAGGGGCCTTAACAAAAAAAACAATGATGGTAGAGAAGACAGTAAACCGTCTAAGAAATCATACCTGCAGTGCACAATGGGTGGTCCAGCATCAGCCGGGTTATATGCTCTAACTCGTCTTCTGAAGGCCAGCAAGGCAGTTGGGTATTCAGGTACCCCATGATCTGGCCACACAGTAAAATGAAACTGTTTTACTTCTCTCTCCTCTTTTTCACTTTCCTAGAAAATAGAAAACAAAACAGAATTTCAATTAATAATGATCACGATACCAATCAATGAATCTCAATTGAAATCAGACAACCTTAATAAAAAATGTGTACTTACCCGTTTGACATTAAATGTTCTGATGTTATAATCGGAGTAATGCTCTGACCTGACAAGCATTACAGATATGTCACCATAGTCTTGGGTCTCATCCGGCCAGTACTTGTGGCACTTCAACTGAGAACGCAACGGGGAGGGAACCAAGTAAGACACAGAAGGGTAAACGAATTTTATCAAAATAGACTTCACGTGTTAAACATTAACACAATGCCGGAAAAAGAAGAAGAAGAAACAAAAGGTGGAGGTCTGAGCCCTGATCAGAGAAATGGAATCGAGTTCTTAACCAAGACACTCCACCCCCGATTGGTCTTTTTTAATATTCTGCAACTCTGCAACACGTTTAAATGAGTACCACTAGAAAGTTGCCAGGTACGTTCCGAAGTGAAGATGGAGGGAGTTTAAATGGCGTCATACCCAAGGCCCTCGTAACACTATCAACGCTCACTACAGGAGAAACTTGAGTTATGACCAAAAAGTATGAACCACTTAGTTTAGGAAGAGAAAAAGATGTGAGCTTGTGAAATGGCGGGATGTTCATACGTTCTATCAAGGAGGACACTCTAGACCTCGTGGTACTAACTCCCCCACATACCTTGTGTCTCTCTTGTAGATTAGTCAGCATAACTATTGTGGACGACTGCTGTTCCCAAACCATTCGCCAAAAGTCGTCAAAGGTTGGAGGAACTGGACCTAAAATTGATCAAGTGTAAAAATGCGTCAAAGGATTTGAAATTGATCTTCAGCGTGGATATAGCAACTAAACGTTAAAGTAACTGGACCTAAAATTGATCAAGCGTAAAAATGCGTCAGAGGACTTGAAATTTATCTTCAGCGTGGAGATGTTAACTAAAGTAACATGTGTTATGGGGTGAAAAGACCTGAGTTACTCAAAAAGACGGTAACAAGAAATCTTTCTCCCCTTCCCCTTACGCCGTTTTGTTACTTCAATATTTATTTCAAATCAATTATTTATTGAATAAAGGAGAAGAAACAATGAAACAAAGAAAGATGATGTACCTTGACAGGCAATGTATGCATTGGGTTTGTTGTATCCCTGGAAATAGACAAACAGACAAATAAACAGGAAATGTTAAAAAAAACCAAATCAATGAAAATAAAATAAAATTGTATAAAGTACCATGTGTTTGAGGGGGTAGGGGAGGGGCTGATCTGAGAAGTCATGTACAGCTTTAGTTACCAAAAGTTTCCACAATAAATTGTAATTAAAAAGAATTTAAGATTAATTGCAGAAAAGAGATCTAAAAAAGAGGTTTTCAAAGAACTTCGAGTCCATGCCTCCTAGATACTAGTTAAGCGCTACTATCTACTGATCCATTGAACCACGAGTTAAAACTGAGGCAAACTCTTCAAATACATAAGTTTTCACAAATAGCGTCTTACTCACATCAATTCTTGTAGCGTTGATATAGTCTGAGCCAGACTCCCCTTCGATCGGGGACAAGACGACTCTTGAATGATCATCTGTGTAAAACAAAAACAAAAAAAGGTTACATGCTGTTAGGTAATGAGCAAATCAAAAGGTGAAACATGGAATCAAAGCTGAAATAAAGACTTCCATCCCTAAATTGAAAAAAACAAACAAACAAACAAACAAACAAACAAACAATAAGGGATTGCTTACAGCAGATTGCTTGCAATGCTACTGTACACTTACATGCAATAATATTGCCATATCTGTTCTTAGCCTTGTTTTCTGGCATCAAGCCAGCGTCACAGGGATACTCCTGGCCACTGTCAAGTTTCTATGAAAAGGAAACGAGCCACAACTCGTAAATTAAAATGAAAGGGAAGTGCAAAGTGCAAAAAGGGAGGAAGGAAATGATCACTGAGTACGAGGACGACGAGGGTAGTAAGGCTAACGATGAGGGCAATGACAACGTTAGCCTTTCGTGAGATCACCAACTTCATCAAAGGCGAATTCTGAACGGGTCTTTCTGTTCGCGAGAAGTTGACGGCGATGATGAGGTCAAGAGAAGGAGCGGCAAGTAGAGCAGCAAAAAGGGAGGGAACGGGGCGAAAACGGATACTGAAAATTTGGATTCAAACTATGGATGGACTCTTGTTGCTTTTAAGCGACAGGCAGATGAATTAAGAAAAAAATTATAAGATTTACATTGTATTCAATCATGTATCCACGGTCATCAGACTTGTGCAACTTTGCCACATGCTTGGCAAACTGGTCCACAGTTATGGGAGGATGGTCTGCATCGTTGACAACCT